TAGAATAGCAGGAAATTAGTAGATATTGAAAATATTACATAACAAAATAGGACAAAAAACAAAATTAATAATAATTATATATGGTGTTTAAACAAAGCAAAAACTTTAGAAAAATTGGAAAAATTAAGCACTGTAATTAAAGTTTAAACATTTACCATCTTTCACCTGAACCCTTCATATATTTATATAGATTTATAAGTGTTGTATGAACAAGAGTGTGCGAGAAGTGCTCTGGTGGTAAATTTCTTGTCCAATGAAAAAAAAACTTGGACAAACTAGTATATAACACTGCCAGATGTTCAAATCATCCAAACTCAATTCAAAAGAGTTTTGATGGTGATAAAATTAGTACAAATATACCATGAATTTCTATTTTTTTTTTAAGGAATGCAAAAAATAAACTCACATAAGTGAGATATCCTAGTGGCAGTGTTGTTCCTCTTTTTTATAGCATAAGATGGGGACTGGCCATAAGTCTTTAACAAATTTTAGTACAGTATTTGTGGTTTTGTTCATGGAAATCAAACATTTTTTTGTAACAAAACAGATGCTTAAGAAGTTTTCAAGGGACTTGAAAACTTCTTAAGCAGAAATGAAAAACTTCTTAACAAAGTTCTATAACATTCCAAATACTCCTATAAATCAAAAATAGTAATAGAGTTGTGAAACAGTTTTCAAAAATTAAGTAATTTAATTTGTTAAATAAATTTTACTAAAGAAAAGTTTTTGTAATTACATACTACAATTACAACAATGGCAAGTGTTTATTTTGAATGCAGTGCTAACCCATGTAAATTTTTTGATTTTGTTTCTAAAATAAACAGTCAAAATTAATATCTGTAATATTCATTATATGCCGAGATTTTTCATTGTATGTACACTACATGAAAACATTATTATTGTTTTTGTGTTTATGTAACTTGTTAATGAAACTAGTTAATGTGACAATTACAGTTGGGTTTTGTAAGTTGTGTAATTTCTCAAAATCTTATACCACTGAAGACAGATAAAGGTATAAATCTGGTATGGCATTGAGCCTATTTCTATATCTGGTTTTCAGAGATATGGACAATGGAAATGATTTTTCAATTACGCATATGCCATATTTACTCAAATGTAAGGTGCACTTTTTTTCAGATCATAGTATCTTTAAGATAGGGTGCGTCTTAAATTCAATGTAATATATAATAATTAGAAACCTCTAATTCCATGTTTTATTTCTGTTATTCCATTGCATTATTTTAGAGAGGTTAAAAGATCAATATTATTAGTCTTTTATAGTAACATTGAGTATTTGGATGAAAATCCCAGAAAAGTTATGCATTTCTGATGCTTTAAACGGCACCAAAAATGATTGCCTGTGGAAAAATGTGAATATATGGACTCAGAAGAGGTTTCTAAGTTCAATATCACAGAAAACTGATATATAACTTGCTTTACTGTGCAATAAACACTGAACAAATTTATGTCAACAGAAGTGAGTCTGACATAAATTTGTCTTGAGTTGTTTATTTTTATACAAAAAAGAAAAAATCTGTGGGTGAGCATGTAGAAATTAAGCTGTCTTAGATTCAATGGCATCTTATATTTGAGTAAATATGGTAGTTATAATGTCAAAAAGCTGTAATTGCTTTATCTGCCAATGATGAGAATGCATTTCTTGAAGATTTATTATCACCTAGTACTTTAAATTACAAATTAATAATTAAAAATAAGATATTTATTTCATTAACATATATGTGAAGTAACTGAACTCCGATCATTAGAAATACTTAATTTTTTTCCATAAACAATACTTTAATTGAAAAATTGCTGATTTAATATTGTTTGGTAGTCATTGAAGATTTGTTTTTATATACTGCAGTTTGGGAAATGCTGCTTTTACAGTAATAAATTTATATTCAATATGTTGGGAATACTATAATATAATTATCCAATATTACTAGAGAAGAAAATATTCAATAATACATAGCTGGAAACACGTCAATGCTGTATTTAGCTATGTTTAACTTTCAATTTCTTTCATACCATTAATAAAAATCCTGCAATGAGTTGCTTAACCTTCCTGCCAACATTTGGTGGTACCATCTATTATCATATTTTATTTAAAAACTTTTCATATTTTTAATTATTATAAAATGGCAAAAGGCTTAATTTTGAGGGTAGGGATGGGTTTTATAAATTTTAAATGATAATAAGTAAAATCGTCATTAAGTCTGACCCTACTGAAGATACACACAAACCCCTTTATCTCCCATCCCCTCAACCTTAAGTCACCAAAATTTAATACCATCTCCCCTAACAAACAAACCTCCCTGCAAAATTTCAGAAATTTTCAACAAAAAATACAGGAATTATTAAGCTTCAAAGAGGGTGAACAAAATCATGCCCCCCCACACTAACATCCATACATACAGAAAAAAAACCATCATTTTTTGTGTTTCTCAAGATCCCAAGTCTTAAAATCTCAGGGGAGTCATTTTTTGACCAATTGCCATACTTTCCCACTGTTATACATAACAGCTGGAAAAGTAAAAAATGAATAATGCAAGAGATGATGAAAGTGAAGATATAAAATTTTATCATTCTTCAATTGGACATGGATTCACTGATTAAACAATAGCAACATAATTATAAACAGTATATTCATCCAATCATATCAATCATTCTGAATAAATAATGATATAATTTGTAAAAAATGACAAAGGAATTCTAAAGAATATTTTATATCATCACCTAAAAGGAGGTACAGAAGTGACTACAGATTCGACTAATTAATTTATCAAGATAGTATCAACATTCCTGGTTACATTGATGTTTCATTAAGTTGACAAGTTCTTAATCAGAAGCAATAAATTCCATATATCCTTTTGTATGTGTACAGTACATTGTGTATCCCAAAAATGGTATATTATATAACAATATGAATACAAGTGCTACCAATTAAGTCATGGCAATTATCAAAATTCTTGAAAACCATAATTATTGCAAAAGCTAAATGACATCATTATCATTCCTTTCAAATGACATAAGTGCATGTGACATCATTCTCCTGTTTCCACAGCAGTAACAAAAACTTGTATTTTCTTTGTCTCCCAAAAAAATAAATAAATGCTTAAAAGATTAAGGAAAGAAATTCAGGTTTTCCATGGTAAACATGCAGAAAAAAAATTGTGAGATTCACTTTTCACAAGGTAAATGCTTGTTATTAGAACCATTAGAAATCATTCTATTAACACTTCCACAAGCTTATTTTAAGATTGTTTTAAGGAAGTGCAGGAGCATGTGGAAACTAGCCAATGCCTTATAGAATAGTTAATTACATCAGTAGAACAGTTCCAAAATGGTCATAACATATCTCAACAGTGGAGAACACAATCTTAAATTGGTCCTCTCAAATCACTTTTACAGATAGCCACAATGTATCCTGAAAGAACTTTCTTTGAAGCTAGGAAAAAAAAGTCACAAAAAAGCATAGTCATTGAAAAATGACTCAACAATTTGGAAGATTGCAAATATCCTACACAATAATACTTGCTGTTGTGTCCATTAAAGTTATGCATATGCTTTCCAGGTGACGTGGGAAATACTGACACATCCCTGATCCAAGCCCCTGAAATTTTGATGTGTCTGTAAAGATCAAAGAACCCTTATGTGGAAAATGACTCCATAGATAAGCTCATTTATTCCATCAAGCAACCAAAGCAATATGTCCAGAAAAATACAGTGGGTGATCGGATAACGAACACTTCACTGAACAAACAAGAAGTGATGTAAAATAACGAATACCAATTGGTCTTCCTTTGTCTTCAGGCAACAAATCAAAACTTTTCGGAGCGCGGGAGACGTTGACATCGACATTCTACCCAGTATATACTGATCGGATAGTATTCCCCCAAACTTTGAAACTCTCCCTTGTAATTCCAGCCTTTTATATTTCTGACAGAAACAATTCTTTTAAGTTTTCTTCTGAAAATGCAGATTTATGCCAATATCTGCTATTAAAGATCTTTTGAAAAAGTGATGTCAGAACAACTGTCTTAAAATGTCATCCAAACCAGGTTGAGATTAATAGGCCCAAGGATCTCTACAATTACAATGCTATTAATTACTTCTGAAAAATCATGAAGAGAGAAAAGCAATCAACATTAGACAGATTCTTTAACACCCACAAACGGAAAAAACATGACTAATAAAAATGCAAGACCATGTATATATGTATTTTTATTATTACATATGAATAAACATAGTAAGAAAGTATATATTTTTTATTTTTTTTGGGGTCTCTAGAACGAATTAATCAAATTCCCATAGAAACCTATGGTAAATCAATAATCGGTTAACGAACAATTTGGATAGCAAACAAAGTCTTGGAACGGATTATGTTCGTTAACCAATCACCCACTGTAATTCTGTAGATAGAATAAGGCAAATTTCAAATTATTAATGCTACAAAGAAATCCTTTAATTAAAAGTACTTTTGCTTTTTGGCAAGAAAAGCTTCTTCAAAGTTCAAAAATACCCAATTTGCATTTGAATGATGATTTAAATTTTGTAATATTAACATTTGTTTTCCTTTTACAAAATACTGAAGAGAATTATACATGCAGCAGACAAGGAATAACATAATTCCATACAGCTGCAAGTTTTAATGTGGAAATGATGCGTGCTTTGTTAGCCTTAATAGCTTCTGCCCAGAATAAAATTTTCTGGTTTCTTCAGCTGAACAATAACATTATCTTGTCTCACTTTGGTTCATTATTTCAGCCCAAAAAATCAGATCATTTCTATGACTTAATTGACAGTCCTCATAATTTTTTCTGTAGTACTTTTTAAATTTTTTTCCTGTACAAATTATGTAGTACAAATTTTTGTTCTCATATACATGATTTTCATCAGCATGATATATTATTATTAATTGAACTTTGTTATAATTTTTTCACTATCAACATATATCCTTGAAATCAAAATGGAAACTAAAACTAACTAAAAAAAGTTACCTTGTTTTTCTGCTGTTTCTTACACTGTTGTGTAAATTTTTTAAATTCTGGAACTTCTTCTTTACTTATCATATCTCTGATAATTTCTATATATCTATCTCTCTCTGTTTCATAACCAATGACACACTGACTGATCTTATTCAGGTCCCCTTCATATTTTAGATAGTATTCTTTTATATCATTTAGCTCTTCTTCAGATCCTAAAATATACATATATTTTCCATATAAAAGTTTATTTAATTATTAAATAAAAATCATTTTTTTTTTCATTTAATTTCATGCACCTTTATACTTTGTAAGGTAAGACTTTATATCTTCATCTGTTATTCGAGGAAATAAAGAACGCCAGTAAGCATACCAGTCCCTATCTTCCAAATAGCAATCCTCATCATCAGCACTCCCTAAATAAACAGAAAATTAATTTAAAAAAAAAATAATTCAAACAATGATCCAAAACAAACAAAATTAAAAACAAAATCTTAGAATTAACCTGTTTCATCATATATTTTTCTTCTGTCTTCATCAGATAAGATTAAATATATTTTAGCCAATGTTTGAAATCTTCTTGTTGATTCTTCTTTTTTTTCTTCTTCAGCATGATCTGGGTGAACTTTCAAAGACAGTAATCTGTAGGCCTTTTTTACTATAAAATAAAGTTTAACTTCTGTTTTACAAAATGAATTCTCTCTTTAAAATAATGAGACAAATCTAAATTACGATTTTTAACTACTTTCATATCAATTGGTGATCATTGCCGTTATTACTTATTTTTATAAATACAGTGGGTGATTGGTTAATGAACATAATCCGTTCCAAGACTTTGTTTGTTATCCGAATTGTTCGTTAACCGATTATCGATTTCCCATAGGTTTTTATGGGAATTTGATTAATTCATTCTGGAGACTCCAAAAAATAAAAAAAATATATATTTTTTACTAAGTTTATTTACATGTAATAGTAAAAATACATATATATGCAGTCTTGCATTTTTATTAGTCATGTTTTTTCCGTTTGTGGGGTTAAAGAATCTGTCCAATGTCGATTACTTTTCTTTTTTCTTCAGAATTTTTTGGAAGTAATTAATAGTATTGTAATTGTGGAGATCTTCAACCCCTTTAACCTTATTCTGGTTTGGATGCCACTTGGATGATCTGACATCCTCCCACTTCTTCAAAAGTAGCAGATGTTGACATTGATCCTCTTTCGTCTTCCTCTTTTTCAAAAGAAAACACATCTAGCCGAGTTTCTTGGTATCCTTCATTTGAGAGTTCTCAGAGTTCTGTCATCAGATCAGTTTCAGGTTTCAGGTTCCATTGTGAGCTATAAATGCTCTTTATTTCTCAGATGTGATTTTCATTACTACATTAGCAGCTTGAAACTTCTTGATATATCTTTCATAGCTAAGATTGTGCCTACTGTAGACCTGTTCAAGCCATACTGCCTAGCAACATCAGACATCTTGTGCTCACTTTCTACCTTGGCTATTATCTCTTACTTGGTTTCTACGGTGAGCACGGTTCTTGACACTCCTCTTTTTAGGCTCCATATTATCAGTTTCCTTTTTAAATAAAAAGTTCAGAAAAGCACTTACAAAAATTCAGAGAACAGAAATCAACTAGACTACAAAAAATTATTTAAATACAAGGCCTGGATGAAATTCGAAATTTGGTATTAAAATGTTAACAAATATCCTTTCACCTTTCATAAATAAACCCCGATGCAAAATTTAAGAAGTACCTGTCTGACAGTCTCGCGAAGACTACAAAAATTATTTGTCAGAAAGGTAAACAAAAAGCTGGAATTACAAGGGTAAGTTTCAAAATTCGGAGGAATACTATCCAATTGATATCAAGTTGAGAGTCAATGTTACGTCTCCCGTGCTCCAAAAGGTTTCGAATTGTTACCTGAAGACAAGGGAAAATCAATTGGTATTCGTTATTTTCCGTTGCTTCTTTTTATGTTTATTCAGTAAAGTGTTCGTTATCGGATCATAAAAATCTTTCGCAAAAGTGTTTGTTATCCGAACTGTTCATTAACCGATCACCCACTGTACACATATTACGTATGTTATCTACTATTTAATTACCTAAGGAATTATATTATTTACTAAAAAGTAATCAAGAAGCATTTTATTTTGAGATTTCAGCATCAAATAGGTAGGAAAAAGTATTATTACAATTTCTTTATTTTAAAATTATATTCTAAAATATTATGAATAGTTTTTAACTCCTATAATGTCCAAAAAACATGATTAAATTAATCACACTTTTATAAAACAGGCTCAACTTGTCTCAATATTTTGCTGTTACCTAATTAATTTAAAACTTGGCAGCAGTCTTATGGGATTTAAAATATCGCAGATAAAATCTATTTGTTCTTTGTGCTGGTAACATTTTATCTATTATAATAAATTTTTAGGTATTTTCAAACCCATACATTTATTGTCTATATAGTGGTGTGTTTTGTATTAAAATTAAGCTAGTGCTTTCTTAGATATAAAAAGACTATTTAGAGTGGAGTGCAATTTACATCATCTTTATTTCAACTAATCTAAACATTATGATAAAATTTATTTATTTCTGCAAAATTTGTTGAATAATCAATTACTATAAAATTTAAAATCAGTTATTCAATAGATTCAGTGAGTTTCACATTTAAAAACAGGTCAAGCAGTTCAAATTTGTCAAATATAATAAATCAATCAATAATAATAGCACAATAAAATCTGCTTATTACAATCAAAAACTTCACTTATTGTCAAATATCATCATCATCGAATAAATAAGCATTTCTAAGCCATCTTTTTGCACAATTTGTATCAATACATGACTGATAATTTGCAATCTTTATAAATGTTAATCAGGATAAGTGTTAAATTGTTTTATGTTTGCAGTACAGTAATTTAAATTGCTAGCATTTCATACTTTAATTATACACTGAATTAATAGTAATAAATTATTATATAATTATAATAATAAATCTTTGAGTTATACATTTTTAGTTGTTTTAAACATATCCTTTTAACATCAATCAATAAAACTGAAATTTCCTATTTATTTTTTTTATTTTGAACTCTTTCCACTGTAAGCATTAAGAGAGTTTCATATAAACCATGGGTTCAGTCAAGTCCATAATAAGAGCAGCCAGATGGTGAAGGATAAGGTCTGATATATCCAGAACAACTGTCTGTGGAAATTTTGAGGCTCTTGACCTACAGTCAAGAGGCTCAAACCCAAGTTCCCAGAGCAAAGGCCAATACCTTTACTGCATTGCTCACCTGTCATCCACAATTTCCACTAATTGTTGTCTTATTTACTTTTCCCAGTTAATGTTAGCAGTTTAAATAAGTCTGAAGTGATTACAATAAGCAGATTCTAATATATAACAGCATTAAAAAAATTTTGATATAGATAATGAGACAAATCTCAATCATGATTTTTAAATCTTCTATTCTTGATTAAATGTTATGGAACAATTTCATTCTGAGCAAGTAATCATGAATCAGTTTGTGAGAGTTTATTTATTTAAAGCATACATAAGATAAATAACCATAAATTTTGCTGGCATATAATGTAACTTTTCAAGCTTGAAAGAACTCTGTAAAACTAGGGATTGATTAGTAAACAGAATTCAGTTTTTTGGGTGTATAATGGTCAGGTAAATAAACTCAAACAATTCAAAGAAACTTATATAATTCTGCTAGTCTGAATAGTGGAATTTTCATAAAAGTATTATATGTGTAAATTCAAATACATATTAACTATGTACTAATAGTGATTATTTCTATTTGTAGTTAAATTTTCATTCAAAACAATAATGGTTATTTAGTAGCTGCTTTCAAGTTAATGACATTCACATTGTGGCATTTTGCAGTGGCACTATGCAAAAAGGGTTATATTCTTTGTAAACACACAGAATTTATGCTATTATCAAGTGTTGCCATAGAAGAACAATAGATTCTAGTTTTAAGTTATAGAGGTAAAAAATCAGATGTATTTATTTTATCTTTCATGAACAACACATCAAGTTTTACAGAATGTCAAGTTTCCATGACTCCACTGTATCTGCATTTCAGTTATACTTATAGGCTAGAATTGAACTGATCGAAAACCACTTATGTGTCAGAATGTCTCCTTTCTTTTTGTTTTCAGCTTTTTTAAAGCCATATTCAGGTCATACTTCTAAAAAGAAATTCAATGTATTTATCTATAAAATTTTTGTTAGATTTCAAAGATTTAAGCTCTCTTTTTTTAACCATTAGAAGAACCTATTGCCCTATCCCCTATTCCAAATACCAGCTTTTTTGATAATTATGAATTAATTAAAAGCTTTTGCATTATTTTTTTATATTAATAAATTTAAACACTTGCATTATCTATTTATAATAAAATAAAATTAAGAATTATTTTTATTTTTGAACTAAACTATTTTAATCTTTTTGAGTCTGTAATTAAAAAAGCATGTATCAGTAAAGTAAATGCTCAAGCTCATTGATTGTATTTTAATTGAATAAAACCTTCAATTTCTACGGATTCCTACTAGTAATAATTTTTTTAATTAGGTTTTTTTTATTAGATTTATCAAAGATGTCTTGCACTTCATCAATACATGAAAAATGTGAAATGACACAGTTGAAACTGAGAGATTACGAAACCACAAAAGAAAGTCAAACAATTTAAGGAACGAACAAAATATGTCATTAATAAATGATTATCTACAGATGAGAAAGGCAGATAGACATGGGTATTTTCAGATAATTTTTGAATGCAATGCCAATAATGCTCCTTTCTCAAATTGGTAATGCCAATACCTAGGTTAAACTATAAGAAAAAATCTGTCCCTTTAGATGAGAAAAAAAAAACTGTAAAAAATTTTTTGTAGGAATATGAAAGTGCATTTTAAAAGTTCAACAGTTCAAGCAGCAGAAAAGATTAAAAGTAACTGTTCTAGAACCAAGATGGCNATTTGTCTCAATACATGACTGATAATTTGCAATCTTTATAAATGTTAATCAGGATAAGTGTTAAATTGTTTTATGTTTGCAGTACAGTAATTTAAATTGCTAGCATTTCATACTTTAATTATACACTGAATTAATAGTAATAAATTATTATATAATTATAATAATAAATCTTTGAGTTATACATTTTTAGTTGTTTTAAACATATCCTTTTAACATCAATCAATAAAACTGAAATTTCCTATTTATTTTTTTTATTTTGAACTATTTCCACTGTAAGCATTAAGAAAGTTTCATATAAACCATGGGTTCAGTCAAGTCCATAATAAGAGCAGCCAGATGGTGAAGGATAAGGTCTGACATATCCAGAACAACTGTCTATGGAAATTTTGAGGACCCAAGTTCCCAGAGCAAAGGCCAATGCAACCTTTACTGCATTGCTCACCTGTCATCCACAATTTCCACTAATTGTTGTCTTATTTACTTTTCCCAGTTAATGTTAGCAGTTTAAATAAGTCTGAAGTGATTACAATAAGCAGATTCTAATATATAACAGCATTAAAAAAATTTTGATATAGATAATGAGACAAATCTCAATCATGATTTTTAAATCTTCTATTCTTGATTAAAAGTTATGGAACAATTTCATTCTGAGCATGTAATCATGAATCAGTTTGTGAGAG